CTACTGTGTGCCAGACACTGTTAGATTTTGGGTTTTGTTTGTTTGTTTTTAATAAGGACTTTTTTAAAAAAATATATCTTTATTGATTTCAGAGAGGAAGGGAGAGGGAGAGAGAGAGATAGAAACATCAATGATGAGAGAGTCATTGATCGGCTGCTTCCTGCACGCCCCCAACTGGGGATCGCGCCCACAACCCGGGCATGTCCCTGACTGGGAGTCGAGCCTCATTCTCCAGGATCATAGGTCAGTGCTCAACCGCTGAGCCGCGCCCGGCTGGGCGACACTGTTAGATTTTGGGATACCGTGATGAGCCAGACAGATGAGGGTCCTCTCTTTCAGTATGCTCCTGGGACAGTAACATGCAAACAGCAACGTGAGATAATTTCAGATACTGATTTGTGCTATGAGTAGGGAAATGAAAGAGAGAGGAGCGGGGGCATCAGACAGACTGGAGAGGCTACTTTGTCAGTGAGTATTGACCATCTCAACCATGTGCCAGAGATGGTTCCAAGTGCTTGGGAAGCATTAGTGAACAGGAGAGAGAAAAAGCCTTGCTTTCCTGTAGCTTGTACTCTACCAGGGGGAGGTAGGGAATAAATCATAAAATAATAAGTAAATTTTATATTATCATAGAGGGAATAAGAGCTATAGGAAAGAACACAATTTTTTTTTCCTGTTATAGATAATGCTGCAATGGACATCTTCAGGCAGAAATCTTTTTCATGTGCCTAAGGATTTTTCCTAAGGATGGATTTCAAAAAGTAGAATTACCCCCATTTTAAAGGTTTTTTTAACACAAAGTATCAAATTGCTTTTCAGGGAGGTTATACCAACTTATTCATCCCCCAGCATATATAAAGGTGTCTATTCTACTACAGCCTCACCAGCATTGACTATTATGCATTTTTTTAAAGTGCTCATACACTATATCTTTAATTAGTATTACCTTGCTAATGAAATAGAACATTGAATTTTGGCTTTTTATTTATGGGAGAAAGTATCACTAAGGAAATTAATAATATAAGCAAACTATAAAATACAGTAATTTTTTCTAGTTCTGCTTCTTCCTCTGTACCTGGGATTGGATGATTTATCAAGGTCACAGTTCAGGGGCACTTTTTACTTCAAATTGATTCATGTTAGCAGCATACTTAAAAAGAATTATTTGTTAACATTCTGCCTGGCTTGGTTGTTACGTAGGAAATTCTAGCTTCCATTACAGTATGAACTTGAGTAAGAAACATGCTCTTCTTTAAACAATCTTATACTTTAGGTTTTTCGTTGAAACTCCTGCCATTCCAAAATCGTGGGGTTTGCTGTCCTTTTATAGAAATGAAACATCAGGAAGCAATTCAGGCACTTCTCCATAATGATGGTCTGACTTACACACCTTAACCTGTGAGTTATTGCCCTGCTGGGACTCAGTGCTTAACTACAGCTTCCACACACCCTCCATCCCTGCCTGTGTCCCATTCTCACCTCCCCACCACCTGGAGCTGGAGGGTCCTCCTCCTGCCCAGGCCTGGGAAGGTGCTGAGAAGGGGCCATATTATAGTGAGCTTTCCCCAAAAAAGGTAGTGCTACAGTTCTTGTCTGACTTATCTGTTTCATTGGTATGTGTGACCTTTTGTGGGCTGTCTTGGCAAGCTAACCATTGTAGTTACAATTGATTCTATGGAGGGTGCCTGTCAAGTTTCACAACAACATTTGGCCTAACCCTTTTTTGTGTGTTGGAAACTGTGTGTACTGCAGGGAGCCTGGTGACATTGGCTGTTGTTCTTCCAAGCCCCGGCCCCTCTCCCCAATTTTCTCCCCTTCCTCCATCTCTTTCCGGGCCTCCTGGCTTAGCCTCATCCAGGCCACAGGGCATGGAAATCAAACTGGACATGGAGGGGTGTGATCTGGACTTGAATTCTAGCTTTGCTGCTGATAACTTCAAACTTGAGATCCCTCAAACCTAAATTCCACATTCCTATGTATATGTGAAATCCACACACTCCACATACACTCTGCACATGCTGGAGTTTTACAAAATGTAAGACACTGTCACTTTGACCAGTATTTGTGTGGAATTTCATAAGAATTTAAAAACATGACTATTTCTGCTCCTAAGAGTATTTACTAGTATTTACTAATCTACTAGGTGTCTGAAAAGGTTTTGAAATTTTTAAAAATTAAATTTGAACATGTTTTAAAAATAGCATGTCTTCTCCCCAGCATTTCTCCAGGGAGAAGGGGGAGAGCTGGCCCCTGTTGTTAGGGCAGCCCAAAGACCATGCAGGGCAATCTGGAGGGCTCTTTTCCTGCACTTTTAAGGAAATATGGCATCATGGTGCCTTATGCCCAGTGGCACACTGTGTGCTATGGCCCTGAACTCCCCTGTGCTCCTCATTTGTGAGCAAACCACCAACTTATGTTTAACCACCAGTGTTAAACATATCCAGAGATAGCACAAGACCTGGGGTCCAACTGCCTGCATTCCATTTCCACTGAAACACTGTGTGACCTTGGGCAGGTTGCTTAGCCTTTCTGATGCCTCAGTGTTCCCACCTATAAATTGAGAGTGTTAGTGCCTACTTCAGAGTGTTGGGGATTGAATGAAACAATGTGTGCATAGAGGGCTTTGTATTACAGCAGGTTAGTAGTGAGTACTTGGTAAATGCTGGGTGCTACAATCCAATTTTTTCACATTTACTGTAAATTCAGGGGATGTATTTAAATGATGTATCTATTCTGGTGCTCCACAGCTTCACAGAAATAAAGTAACTTTGGATGGCATTAAAACTAGCCACAAAATGAATTAAACGTTTAGAAATAGCCTGCTAAGATTGCTAAACAATTTCACTTTTATTTATGTAGAAAACAGGTCTAAAGGGTGGCTTAATTTCTTATTCATAGAAAGATGGCAAGATTGTGTTGGACAATTGATAGTTCAGTTCTTTTCTTCTATCCCTGGAAATAAAACCACAGGTACTGGGCTTAAATTTAACCAGTCAGGACATTGTAGAAATAAAGGAAATAGATTAGGACCAAGGAGATTGTTAGCTGCAGGAATGGGCAGCTAGAGTAAATTGTGCAGGCTTCTGCCCTTAAGCCTCTCACCGAGGTGAGGTGACGTGTCATCTCCCTGGCAGGGTGGGGACACGACTCTGCTCCACTCACCTTGAACTGGGACACTCTCCTACCACTCCCCACCCCCAGGCCTGTTCACAGTCGCTGTCAAGTGTTCTCTGAAGGTGTTGCATTTCCACCTGTTGCTTGGTAAAGAGTGAAATGTACTCCAAAGTACAGTTGATCCTTGAACAACATGGGTTTGAACTGTACAGGTCCACATATGTGCAGATTTGCTTTAGCAAATGCTGTAAATGTATTTTTTCTTCCTTATGATTTTCTTAATAACATTTTCTTTTCTCTAGCTTACTCTATTGTAAGAATACAGTGTTTTTACTCTTTTATTAACTTTCTTAGAGTGACATTGGTTAGTAAAATTATATAGGTTTCAGGTGTACAATTCTATAAGCCATCATGTGTATACCCCAAGTCAAGTCTCCTTCCATCACCACTTATTCCCCTATACCCTCTTCTACCTCCCCTCACCCCCTTCCCTTTGCAGTTTATAATACATATAACATACAAAATGTATGGTGTTTGTTATTAGTAAGGCCTCTGGCCAACAGTAGGCTATTAGTAGGTAAGTTTTGGGGGAGTCAAAAGTTATATGTGGATTTTCTTTTTTCTTTTTTAATATGTCTTTATTGATTTCAGAGAAAGGAAGGGAGAGGGAGAGAGAGAGACAGAAACATCAGTGATGAGAGAGTCATTGATCGGCTGCCTCCTGCACACCCCTCACTGGGGACAGAGCCCGCAACCCGGGCATGTGCCCTGACTGGGAATCGAAAGGTCAATGCTCAACTGCTGAGCCACACCGGCTGGGTTATATGTGGATATTCTATTGCATTGTTCAAGGGTCAGCTCTACTCCCTTCTTCATGTTCCCCTTGGTTGCAGAGAAAGGAGGGAGTGGTCTTTGCCACCACCCCCCCATATTTGCATAAGCACATTGTCTTCCTACATCATGGAAAGGGAATTTTGGTGGGGAGGGAAGGACTCTATAAGTGACTTGAGCTGAATGAAGTGCTAGTGGGGGGTGGGGAGCTTTGTTAGGGCTCAACCAGTTCCCACAGAAAATAGACTTGCCCCCCCTCCACATGTCACTGAGCCAGCCATAATGCCCCGTATCACATCAGTTGGTCTCTTCAGTCCACTGAATGAGAATCCCCAATGACATTTGCTAGGGCCACTGTATACAGTTGTGCAGGTTAAACTACATAAGGGCCCCTGGGCAAAGGGACATTTGGGGGGTAAAATCCAGCTGGAGTCCTCCTTGCTGCACCCTGAATCCTAGTACAGGGCTAACGATGGCCCTGGTGATATCTAATCTGAGTTCCCCTCCTTCACCTCCCTCCTCCATAGTAGCCTCTGTTGCTACTGAATTATTTGGAAATCATCTTCTATGGCTACAGCCTCCAAGAGCCCAAGGGAGCTGTAAAATGCACAAGGGAGGATGTGCCGGCCTCATAGACTTATCAGTGACAAGGAAGGAAATGGTTCATTATTTCATTCATTGGGCAGGCACAGTGATGTGTGCTGGGTGCTGGGGATATGGGTCTGGCCACAGACATGGGCTTGACTACAAGGGACAGCAAGCAAAGAAGTACAGTACCCATGGTGAGCACCATGATGGCCACAGGCACAGGGTGCCCGGGACCCACAGAGGAGCTGTCCCCAACACGCTGGAGGGACAGGGGCACTTTCTAAAGACGGTGGGCCTGAGCAGCATCTTCCAGGATACATAGGAGCTGGCTGGGTACACTTCTCTGGGGTGGTGTCTGTTGCACCAATGGAACCACGAACAAGAATTGCTGTGCTGAGCAGAGGTGCACTTTTAGAAGCCCAGTCAGTCTGAAAGATGTCTGACTTTGTTCCCTAGGCTTCTTATGCTGGGGGTGGGGAAAAGGTCTGTAGATTTTAAGCTTTGAAAAAACATTAGCAAAAGAGTAAGTCAGTCTCCTTTTCTGGGGGGTTATATTTTTAAATGATTGTGTTAAAAATTGGTAGACCCAGGAAGCTTTCTGACCTTTTGCTTTGTGACAACATGCTAAGTTTCTTTTCTCCCCCCTCTCTAGATACTTACTGGAGCAAGATTTCCCTGGCATGAGGATTGGTCCAGAGCCCACCACCGATTCCTTCATCGCTGTGATGTATGGGGAAAGCGAGGGCAGCACTCCCGGGAATGCTTTAGTCGTGGACCCCAAAAAGCCATTTCGAAAGCTCGGTCGCTTTGGAAATGCTTTCCTGAATCGGTAAGGACCAGCAAACTGCCATCTTTGGTCAGGTCATTTAAAACTTTTCTTTGAATTCTTGCCAATTACGTGTAAAGGTTCAAAAACAGAAGAACAGAGCATGTCTATTCTAGAAGAGAGACATTATAGAGAATATATACTCAAATGTTTGAAACTTGCCCTGGCCAAGTAGCTCAGTTGGTTAGAGCATTGTCCCATACGCCAAGGTTGCAGGTTCCATCCCCATTAAGGGCACATTTAAGAATCAACCAATGAATGCATAAACAAGTGGAACAACAAATTGATGTTTTTCTCTCTCTCTCACTCCTTTCCTTTCTCTAAAGTCAATTTAAAATATACATTTGAAAGAATTTCATAGAAAATGATCATTTACACCTATTCTGGGTGGCTTCAGAGGGCAGAGCTAAGGCCCAGGATTGGACATTATAAGGCCACACAGTATAAGGAACAAATTTCTAATAGTTTGAGCTGCACAGAAATGGATCAAGTTGCCTTGTGAGGTGTGAGCTCCCTTTGCTGGCTGGATGGCCACTGCTCAGGCAGTGTGCCGGGGCCTCCCATGCAGAGCCCAGAGGACCCCTGAGGTACACGTGACCCCCAGATTTAGTCTGTTGATTATTGCAAGACAGGTCCCCTCCCCTCCCCTGCTGTCCCTTATGCTTCTCACTCCCATGCTGTGAGCTGCTGCCTTTTTATCAGAGCAGAGCAGGGGAAGCAGAGCTAAAACAACACAAAAAGTTAATTTTCATACATGGGCATTATTTATAGATGTGAAGTTGTAGGAGAGCTGAGGCTCTGTCTTCTCTGGAGACGCGTTTATTTGTACTACCCTGTAACCTTTCACCAGAGTTCCCAACAAAACAGGTGAGAGGGCAGAGAACAAGCCTGCAGGTTCTCCTGGAGGCGGCCCTGCCCTCTCAGATATGATCCGCTCTTACCTGCCTCCCCTCTTTGCCACACCTAGCCTTTTTTTTTAACATTTCTCTTTCTTTTTTTCTATTGTTCCCCTCTCCCCTCATCTTCTCTTTTAAGAGTTTACTGCTTTAGACTGGTTGGTTTGAGGGAGCGGGCTGTGGGAGGTTCGGGGACAGGTTGGGGATCATCCAAGCCCCTTTAGGGAGGGGTGGGACTAGAGCTGACAGACTAGAGGCTTGAGCTGTACTCCTCCTTTTTAGCTGGTTTTTAAAACTAGCATGTATCCTCCTAACTGACTGCTGTCCTCCCAGAGGCTGAGGCATCTCATTGCACAACTTCAGGGGCGCCATTCACAAGGACTGTGGAATGAATGATATGCCTGGGTGCCGTGCGGTCGCTCTGCCCACAGTGGCCCAGGCAACCTTCACAGGTGCCTTCTGTGAAAACGTGAACTCTCTTGGAACTTTATTCTCTTTTAAGGGCTTTTTTATGCTCCTACCACAGATCAAAGACAGCATCCAAGTAGCAGGGAGGGAGCTATGCAGTAGGATAAATAGAAAGGTGCCGATGGTGTAGATGGAGCCAGAGAGAAATTTCATCTTGTTGCTGACAGTGATTTATAGTTTCTTCCTTAACTCCAGAGCATCTCCTGGTGGGAGAAGTAGGGGTCGAGCGGCGCAGGGGGGG